CTATACAGAATAAAAGAGGAGCAAGTCAAAAGACAATTGGAAAGTGATGTCTACAGCTTATTTTAGAGTTAAAGAAAATTGAGGGACCAAGCTCTGAATTTATCCAAGAAAAATTGGTGAGGTTTAGTATTGTATACGGTAATCTCCTAAATTCCCTTCCCCCAACGTCAACTTCCGACAACGATCCCGACGCCGTCCGAATTCCGATCGTCGTTTTGAAACCACCATCGTGTTCGTTATCGAGTCAGTAACAATTCCCTTAAATTAATTGAGGTGAAATGCTGCCAAATGCCGGGAATTTCAAGTCAAAGTCTCGACGTTTTTTTAGCACAATTGCCGAGAAAATCTTAAATTCATCGCCGATCGTTGCTCCGTTTACGACACCTCCTGCACCATCGTGTTCCTTGTGCCGTTCCGAGTCCGTCGGTATCATCATTGGTCTCCGTAGACGGCGGCGTGTGGGGAGGTGAAGCGGTCAAAGTTTCCGATTCGTTGAAATCGAGCTCTCCGCCGTTCAAAAATTTGAACCGAGCTTTGTAAGTATCTTGAAATCGCTCAAAATAATTTTTAGGAAATTTTTCGTGAATTATAGGACACCGTTGTACGTCACACGCGCCCCCACACGCCGTCACTGCACGTGGGGAAGCTTCGACAGCAGCTTGAAACCAGTTTGACCAGTCTGAATCGGGTTGACAGGTCCGAACCGGTTCGACCCGACCCAACCCGACCCGTTGGCCGTTAACCGTTGACCTCCTTTGACCAGAACTTTGACCGGGCATTAAATGACCTTTGATTTTGACCGAGTATACCTATCTTGACATTTTTCGACGTTCCAAATCCGAATCTGAAGTCCGTTTCACCAAATTCGAACATGAAACTCTCCAAATTGTCAGTCAAACCCTTTGACTTTGACCAAGAATTTAAATATCTGGAAGGTCATACTTTATGTTTTTCGACGTCCTGAATCTGATTCCGAAGTCCGTTTTGCCAAATTCTGACCCGAAATTTCCAAATCGAGCATGTGAACCCAGAAAGGCTTAGTATTTTAATATTTTGATTATTTAATTGAGTTTTGGTTATGGAATTGATTCAATAAAATATTGTATGAAGGTACTGGTGTTTCAACTGAGAGAATATCAGTTAGGTCCGGAATTGTTCGTTCGTCAGATCAGCCCGAACCACGTACTACTAGACTTACCCGTAGGTTTCCGTATATTATTTAAATAAAGATTAAGATTATTTATATTAGGATTCCAATATGGATTTTTTTCAATTCGTAGGATCTAGCGCTGCAGCAGAGCGTGATCGACAAAACCAGTAATAGACTTCCCTATCTGATTTCTCAGACTGTTACAGTGTGTTTCCTGATAGTGTATATTATTGTTTTAAAGTATATAAATATCTGAATACTGTGTATCTGATTTCTGATTTACTGCATATTTCTGATATGATTTCTGGTTACGGTATTTTATACCGTTTTCTGAATACTGATTACCTAACATCTGAATTACCATACATTATGATTTGATTTTGATTTCTGTATTTCTGTTTATGGTTTTCAAGCTTGAAACATTCTTATGTTTTTAAAGAATTATTCATCGTTTTCCGAATACATTCATATTCATTACTATCATTGGGGGGAATATTATTGGAGGAAGATTATCTGCAGGCTCCTCGGCTGTGTGCTCAGGGCCTTACCGGTTGTGCGGGGTGTATGGTTCTGGGGAACCTACACAAACAAATTGTGAAAGGATGGGGGTAGTGTTCATGTTTTCAAAACATGTTGCATAAACAAATTTTATTAAATATTTTGTTAATATGTTTTTATACATTGTATGGAGCACACTGAGCTTTTAGCTCATTCTGTAGTTTTTACCTTTTTCAGGATAACAGCAGACCGTAAGCTAGCAGATTTGGCATCAGAAGAGATCAACTACTTATTTTGTACGAACAATATATCTCTATATGTTTTCGGTTATATTTGGTGACATGTATTGCTATCGTTTTGGATATATATCTGTATTATTAATATTTATTCTATATATTAATGTTTTATAAGTTGTTAAGAAAAAAAAAAAAACTTCTGAATGGGACATGTGACCACTTATGTTTGGGTCTAACTTACAGACCGGGTCTAGGGGTTACAATGGATGGAAACCTGAATGTAGGAATAAAACGGTCCGGCCCTCCATGCAAGCGGGTTCAAAGTCGATTATTTAATTCTGCTGGCTTCACACTGTTATTTCCAGTACAGAAATATAAACTTCACGGAGAAATATGAAAATTCTATTATAAGTTGTAATCCATACCAACACTGAAAAAAACTCACCTCGTACACAGAAGAATATTTTCTGGTTTTAGATCACATGAATATTCCAGCATTTTAATAAGCAAGTCCACGTAAAATCTATACAGAATAAAAGAGGAGCAAGTCAAAAGACAATTGGAAAGTGATGTTACAGTAATCTCCTAAATTCTCTTCCCCCAACGTCAACTTCCGACAACGATCCCGACGCCGTCCGAATTCCGATCGTCGTTTTGAAACCACCATCGTGTTCGTTATCGAGTCAGTAACAATTCCCTTAAATTAATTGAGGTGAAATGCTGCCAAATGCCGGGAATTTCAAGTCAAAGTCTCGACGTTTTTTAGCACAATTGCCGAGAAAATCTTAAATTCATCGCCGATCGTTGCTCCGTTTACGACACCCCTGCACTCGTGTTCCTTGTGCCGTTCCGAGTCCGTCGGTATCATCATTGGTCTCCGTAGACGGCGGCGTGTGGGGAGGTGAAGCGGTCAAAGTTTCCGATTCGTTGAAATCGAGCTCTCCGCCGTTCAAAAATTGAACCGAGCTTTGTAAGTATTTGAAATCGCTCAAAATAATTTTTAGGAAATTTTTCGTGAATTATAGGACACCGTTGTACGTCACACGCCCCCCACACGCCGTCACTGCACGTGGGGAAGCTTCGAGCAGCTTGAAACCAGTTTGACCAGTCTGAATCGGGTTGACAGGTCCGAACCGGTTCGACCCGACCCAACCCGACCCGGGCCGTTAACCGTTGACCTCCTTTGACCAGAACTTTGACCGGGCATTAAATGACCTTTGATTTTGACCGAGTATACCTATCTTGACATTTTTCGACGTTCCAAATCCGAATCTGAAGTCCGTTTCACCAAATTCGAACAAACTCTCCAAATTGTCAGTCAAACCCTTGACTTTGACCAAGAATTTAAATATCTGGAAGGTCATACTTTATGTTTTTCGACGTCCTGAATCTGATTCCGAAGTCCGTTTTGCCAAATTCTGACCCGAAATTTCCAAATCGAGCATGTGAACCCAGAAAGGCTTAGTATTTTAATATTTGATTATTTAATTGAGTTTTGGTTATGGAATTGATTCAATAAAATATTGTATGAAGGTACTGGTGTTTCAACTGAGAGAAGTTAGGTCCGGAATTGTTCGTTCGTCAGATCAGCCCAAACCACGTACTACTAGACTTACCCGTAGGTTTCCGTATATTATTTAAATAAAGATTAAGATTATTTATATTAGGATTCCAATATGGATTTTTTTCAATTCGTAGGATCTAGCGCTGCAGCAGAGCGTGATCGACAAAACCAGTAATAGACTTCCCTATCTGATTTCTCAGACTGTTACAGGTGTGTTTCCTGATAGTGTTATATTGTTTTAAAGTATATAATATCTGAATACTGTGTATCTGATTTCTGATTTACTGCATATTTCTGATATTTTCTGGTTACGGTATTTTATACCGTTTTCTGAATACTGATTACCTAACATCTGAATTACCATACATTACTGATTTGATTTTTGATTTCTGTATTTCTGTTTATGGTTTTCAAGCTTGAAACATTCTTATGTTTTTAAAGAATTATTCATCGTTTTACGCGAATACATTCATATTCATTACTATCATTGGGGGAATATTATTGGAGGAAGATTATCTGCAGGCTCCTCGGCTGTGTGCTCAGGGCCTTACCGGTGTGCGGGTGTATGGTTCTGGGGAACCTACACAAACAAATTGTGAAAGGATGGGGGTAGTGTTCATGTTTTCAAAACATGTGAGCACACTGAGCTTTTTAGCTCATTCTGTAGTTTTTACCTTTTTCAGATAACAGCAGACCGTAAGCTAGCAGATTTGGCATCAGAAGAGATCAACTACTTCTTGTACGAACATATCTCTATATGTTTTTTTCGGTTATATTTGGTGACATGTATTGCTATCGTTTTGGATATATATCGTATTATTAATATTTTATTCTATATTATATTTAATGTTCTATAAGTTGTTAAGAAAAAAAAAACTTCTGAATGGACATGTGACCACTTATGTTTGGGTCTAACTTACAGACTACTTTGTGTACGAACATATATCTCTATATGTTTTCGGTTATATTTGGTGACATGTATTTGCTATCGTTTTGGATATTATCGTATTAATATTTTATTCTATATTATATTTAATGTTCTATAAGTTGTTAAGAAAAAAAAAAACTTCTGAATGGACATGTGACCACTTATGTTTGGGTCTAACTTACAGACCGGATCTGGGGTTACATGGATGGAAACCTGATGTAGGAATAAACGGTCCGGCCCTCCATGCAAGCGGGTTCAAGTCGATTATTTTAATTTCTGCTGGCTTCACACTGTTATTTCCAGTACAGAAATATAACTTCACGGGAAATATGAAATTCTATTATAAGTTTGTAATCCATACCAACACTGAAAAGTAACTCACCTCGTACACAGAAGAATATTTTCTGTTTTAGATCACAATGAATTATTCCAGCATCTTTTAATAAAGCAAGTCCACGTAAAATCTATACAGAATAAAAGAGGAGCAAGTCAAAAGACAATTGGAAAGTGATGTCTACAGCTAATCTAATCATTATTCAGTTCAGAATCAAATTCAGCTATAAGACAAACTGCCACCACCTGTTTTGAGAATAGCTGAACAATGCTCAGTGAAAAACCCCTAAAATGATTTATCTTGATAAGCTCATGCCTAGATCAGGGGGAATAGGTTAATAACATGCTGCCAAAAAATCAATATAAGAAATGTATCTTTATAAAGGGTAAAGGAAATTGAGGAAATCATGAAACTTGTTTCATTGTATGCATATAAATAAAATTGCTTACAGATTGGTGTCAAGAAGTTCAAAACAAATGCACAAATGACATTGATAAACAAAGAAATCATAAAAACGGACAATGTGATGCTTGTCTTCCGGATCATACTTTTTGTTTAACTGCGTAAGGCAAACAATGAAGACAATGATGTTACACTACTGGTATTCCAAGAAGAAGGATATAAATATATAAATCTGTAAGAAATTTAATTACCGTTGTCAAAATAGAAACTTCAACCAGAGCCTGCTGATAGTAAGCAGGTTGGTTTTTAGTTATCTTCACAGCAACAAAACTGTTTGTTTCCGGAACCCAGCATTTCGCAACCTGACCGAAAGTCCCATGACCAAGAACATCTTTGACAATATATCTACAGAAAATCATTGAAACATAAGTAAAAGATTCCTCCAATAAAGTTAGTTTTAAAGGATAATAGACCACCAGAAATAATTTTGAAATTTACATCAGGCATATTCATAAATCTACCTAATACCTGATCCTTCATGACTAATATCAATTCAAATTCTTTCTTTATATTTTGTCTTGTTTTGAATGGTCGGTTAACCTTTGTTTCTCATAATGGATAATATCTTTTGAATTGCATTAACTAGCTAGTTTGCTGCCTCATTAAGGAGAAAAGCAAATCATACTTGGGGTAAAGTAAGTAATATTAGCATATAGCATAAAATATAGAAATCATCAACAATATGCCAGATCTTGATATTGCATATAACATGAAATGAATTATACTTATACAGAAAACCCATAAAATTCAATTATGTACATAAAACCGAGAACGTCAACCAAAGCTCCATATTTAGACTAACATGCAACTAATCCAGAATGCAATGGTTGGAGTTCATAAAACAACGCAACTGTCTGTGATAGCCAAGAGAAACTAAAGGTGACATGAATGAGAAACAAATATGCACTTCAAGATTATCACTGTTTCTGACACTTCAAAATCAAGAAATAGTCTATTTTAGTTTAGGATTAACTAGTTATCAGTAGCACAAATGAAAATTTTACCGAAAGGAAAAGAAACATCTTTATTCCACCATTAGGAAAATACGCAATAACCATGTGAAGTTAATCTGAAATGAAAGCTACATGAAATGCTTCAGATATTAATAGCTCCATGTCATGAGGAAAATTATGAAAAGCGGTAACAAACCTTCGCTGTGTTTCTGAATTGATCAAGACAAAGTTCACTGATAGAATAAGATCTGAATTCACATTGTCATATCCATCATTGAAGATGCCAACAGATGGACTAGTCAAAAACCGCTTTGGTTCAATTCTTCCAAATATTTAAATTGTGGATTGCATATTTGGTATGTTTCAGTTATGTCCTTAGTCAGCCTTGCCACCAACTGCACAGTTAAAGCTGCCTGTCAGCATAAAGATGTGCCTTATATTTGGGGGAAAATAATTTTCGGTCTGACCACCATATTGTAGTCTTTGTAACCAAATAGAGTGTTGAAAACCAGAAATTTCAATTATACAATTTTTCGATGCAATTGGATGCAAACACTTAATAAAATATTTTTACGAGAAAAAGTGTTGAACCTCTTAAAATACTAGGATCTAGTTAAGGCATTTTTTCAAAATGTTTTTCTTTTTTCAGTATCTTAACAACATTAAAATACATACCACTGTAAGTGATACATTTAGCATAGAGGATGATAAACGGCATATGATGAGAATCATCCTATCCAATGTTCAATGTTCCCTTTATGTGGAGGATAGGATGAAAAATAGGACGAGTATATCAATGGAAAACAGAATGATTATTTTAAACCTATAAGCTAAAGCCAAGTGCAGGAGATCATATTTTTCATAACTCCAGAATTCCTCCTATATTTGCAGTCTTCTTTGCATATTTGTATTAAGACAGTATGGTACTGCAAGGGCAATTTTAACTAAGGAAAACAATCACCTATCCCTTCCAAGAACCAAAATGAAACAAGATAAGAATTGAGTCAAGCCTACTCTTAATCGGGCATGCATACATATAATGTGAGATAGGATGACATAATACAATCTTGTACCCATGTTTACTTCAGCTTATCTTTGTCTCTCCATTATTTTGCACATCAAATGCACCCTGAAAGATTTTATCCTTTGCCATATTTTTTGGTTTACTCTTTTACTTTTCTAGGACATAAAAGATGTAAAATCATATGTATAACCCAAGCAAGATCTATTTAATTTCTAATTTGAAGAAATATGCCAGTATAATTTTACAGTAAAAAACAGTGACAATTATTGAGTGCTAAAGCTGCTCAAAAAAATCCTATACTTAGACAATAAATCGTAAATGCCAATTCAAATGTGTTCCTGCACTAAGACATGAAGAGGGTACATCAGCACAAGAGGTCAATTTACAACAGATCATCCAAAGAATAGTGGGAGATCCATATTGTGATTTTCAGGACAGACTTTGCTGATCCAGAGGGTGAATCCAGAACAAATCACACTCCATCGAAACTAATTTTCACAGTTTCTTCTCCCTAGTTTAGCTTTCTTACAGACATCATAGATTGGCATGAGTTGTAGTGCCTGATGGATTGTCAGGGCAGATAGAACACGGGATCTAAACTAAAAGATTGCGGTCGATTCACTAATATTTGCATGGACGAATTGCATTCTTCCGGGACAAATCTGATCCCATACTCTGCTTAAACATACTAACGAGGTACATTTTACAAACTGAAAGTATTACAGTAGACAGCTTTCTACTTTATATTTGCAGCTAGTGAAACATTTAAGATTTAACCCCCAAGTTTATGCTTAATTGATAGAAAATTGAGCCTAAATAACAATAAAAAAAAAGGGATTTTTGAATTACGAGCTAAAGAGGAGACAAATAAAGTAATTAGACCCTTGAGTATGTAGAAAGTTGATTTTCATTCAATTTTGGTAAGGTCACCGGGCATGCTTCAAGGGAGAAAGCTGACTCCTTGTTTCCTCCAAACTTATTCCTTCGTCTTCTTCTTCTTCTCTTCTACTCATCTCTTTTCTCTCTAGAAAATCGAACAACCAAAGGTAGAAATTTTCTTAAGCTGCAAACCTTCGACGAATTTGAAGAGGTAAGAGTTTCAATATATACCTTTAAAGATTTGATTCAAGCTACATTTCTTCATAGTTTGTAATTGTAGCTATAAATGGGTTTTTCTTGAAGGGTTTTGGAAATCTTGAGCAAACAAACTCACTTTAGTATGATTTCTAGCATTTAGATGCATCTTTGGCTACTTTTAAAGTCTCAAGAGAGTTAATTATTCTACTTATATTTTGATATAATGAATATTTATAAAATTGATTTTAGATTTAATTAAATATTTTAAAATAATTCAAAGTCAAAATAAACTTGAAAAATATATTTTAAATGTGTTGCAATTTAGTCAAACATTTTCAAACATTTACTCGATCATTTTTACACTTTAAAAAGAGTCAAAATGATTTTTAAACTTTGAAGTATTGATACTATATGAACATTACCAATATTGTTCATATAATATCGATACTACTCAAGGTGGTACCAATTCTACCTTATGATTTCGAAAAAATGGTATTGATAATCCTTTATAGTTCCATACTACTCATATAATTTATAAGGATAGTACAAACACTACTATGTAGAGTACCGATACTCTACCTTCCCAACGACTATATTCTTATATTTAATGTAGGTAGTACCGATACTCTAACATATAATATCGATATTACAAGTGTCTGGGCAACTTATAATGTAGAAACTAAAGTCTCCCATGGCTATAATTTAATCTCAACGGCTCCAAATGACTAGAAATTCATTCCAACTTATAAAAACAATCCAAGGACACTTGAAGATGTTACTACACCTATCCAAGCTTAAAGATCAAGAGAAAATAGTTCCAATCTTCATTATTTCATTTTTCTCTTGTACATAGTGTATAATGCTTCATTGAATATATTTTGTATTCATTATTTGCTCAATTTTGTAAATATCCACCTAGAGAGGTATTGTAACCCCCAGACCCGGTCTGTAAGTTAGACCCAAACCTAAGTGGTCACATATCCCATTCAGAGGTTTTTTTTAAACAACTTATAATACATTAGATATAATACAAAACAAAATATTAATAATACAAATATATCCAAAACGATAACAAATACATGTCACCAGATACAACGGAAAACATGTAAAGATATATGTTCGTACAAAATAAGTAGTTGATCTCCCCTGATGCCAAATCTGCTAGCTTACGGTCTGCTGTTATCTGAAAAAGGGTAAAAACTATATAATGAGCTAAAAAGCCCAGTGTGCTTCAACCAGTGTATAAAAACAATTTAATAAAATATTTCAGTAAAATCATTTCATCAAACATGTTTGTTTTATTTAAAATATGAACACTACCCCCATCCGTCACGAACAAAATGTGTAGGTTCCCCAGAACCATACACCGCGTCACGTCCAGTAAGGCCCTGAGCACAAAGCCGAGGAGCATGCAAGTATTCTTCCTCCAACAATTCCCCCCCCCCAATGTCAGTAATAAACAAGTATGTATTCAAGTAAAATTGGTGAATAATTTATGCATTAAAAAAACCATATACCGAAATACAGAAATCAGATATCAGGAAATCAATATTCAGGAATCACGTATCATGTCATAACAGTATTATGAATTATCACCAATCTAAAACAATTCAAACAATATTTTTAAAACAGTAAAATAACACTGTCATGAAACACACCTGTAACAATATGAGAAATCAAATAGGGAAGCTTATTACTGGTTTTGTCGATCATGCTCTGCTACAGCGCTAGCTCCTACGAATTGGAAAAATCCATATTGGAAACCTAATATAAATAATCTAAATATTATTTAAATAATATACGAAAACCTACGGGTAATTCTCGTAGTGCGCGGTTCAGGCTGATCTAACGAACGGACAACACCAGACCTAATTGATCATTGCTCAGGTGAAACACGAGTACCTTCATAAAATATTTTTATTGAATCAATTCCTTAACCAAATCTCAATTAAATAATCAAAATATTAAAATATTAAGCCTTTTGGGTTTACAAGCTCGATTCGGGAATTTCGGGTCAGAATTTGGCAAAACGGACTTCGGAATCAGATTCAGGACGTTGAAAAACATAAAGTATGACTTTCCGAAAATTTGAATTCTTGGTCAAAATCAAAGTCAACGGGTTTGACTGACGATTCGGAGACTTTTGGGTTTGAATTTTGTGAAACCGACCCCAAAAACGGATTCGAGACGTCAGAAAATATTAGGATAGGTATTCTCGGAAAAGATTAACGGTTGTTTAATGGCCAGTCAAAGTTTTGGTCAAAGTAGGTCAACAAACTGTCAATCATTTTACAGAAATAACACCCTTTTTAAAATAATTACTAAAATAGCACTTTTTTGAATTAAATTCCCAAAATAGCACCTTTTCGAATTAAACCGGTCAAACCGGTCATTTGACCTTCCCCAAGTGCAGTGGGGGGGCCTGAGGTGTCTTCTGGCTCCGTAAAATTCACGGAAAAATTTCTAAAAATTATTTTGAGAAATTTCGAGATACTTACAAATATCGATTCAAATTTTTGAACGGCGGAGAGCTCGATTTCATCAAATCGGAAACTTTGACCGCTTCACCTCCCCACGCGTCGCCGTCGACGGAGACCGAGGATAGCACCGGCGGACTCGGAACGGCACAAGAAACACGATGGTGCGGGAGGTGTCGTAAACAGAGCAACGATCGGCGATGAATTTAAGATTTTCTCGGCGATTGAGCTAAAAAAACGTCGAGACTTTGACTGGAAATTCACGGCGTTTGGCAGCGTTTCACTTCAATTAATTTAAGGAAATTGTTCCTCACTAGATAACGAACACGATGGTGGTTTCAAAACGACGATCGGAATTCGGACGACGTTGGGATCGTCGTCGGAAGTTAAGGTTGGGGGAAGAGAATTTAGGAGCAATTTGTTTCTGATTTTTCAGAAACCAATTGCCATATATAATACCAAACTTCACCAACCTTTCTTGGGTAAATTCAGGGCTTGGTCCCTGAATTTTTTTTAACTCTAAAAAAATTTACAAGTTTTAGAATCTTTCAATTTAGTCCCCAAAATTTATCAATTTTCACAATTAAAAACTCAAATTTCAATTAACTGTTATTTTCAAATTTCCGGGTTGTTACAATTCTCCCCCTCTATAAGAAATTTCGTCCTCAAAATTTACCTTATGAAAATAGATGCGGAAATTGAACATCCATTGACTCCAACGTCTCTCAAGTAGCTTCTGAGGGGCTACGATTACTCCATTAAAC